TTCTTCAGTTAAAAGTTATAAAATTTTTTATTTAATCCAAAATAGGGATGGCTAGGGTCATAACATTTTCAAACCTCAATTCTGGCTTCCTTTATAATGTTTTTTGAACATAACTTAAAAATTGTGTACCTTATTTCCTATTTCACATTAACTATGCTTATGATGTGTTACATGACTTCTCTTTTGGCTAAGTAAATTTTGTTGAAGTAAGGCATGACCCTCTAAGCGTTCAACTAAGTTGGTAATGCCATTACTAATCATTACCTACTCGTGGGCAGTCTTCTGCCTCCACACTTTTACTGTTCTGTGTGGAGACAGCTCTGCATGTTTGAGTGCTTGGTGTGCTTTTTTGACGCTGGTGGATTTTTGTTTTGTCTTTTTGGTTTTCTTCCCTTAGAATAAATTCCTGAAATGGGATTTTTATGTCACATTGAGCATTTTGAAGACTTGTGATAAATGTTGCTGAATTATCTCAGCATACTTATCAAAATCATAATTAATCCTTTATGAAAAATGCATCAGCATGTTGTGTGATTGGCCTTGATGAATATTAAACTCCTTGGAGGCATACATAAGAGTACTTACTTAAGGAGCTGCGGCCAAGTGGGAAATGGAACATCCAGGTGTTAACTTCTGCTGCTGGCAGCAAGAGGCGGCAGGAAAGCATCACAGTTAGAAACCCAGGCTGTGGAGACTCTGAGGTCTGCCTCTGTGAGACTGTAGTCTCCGTTTCCTCACTTGTGAAAGGGTCCTGTGAGTAGATGCGAATTTGGAGTGAGGAGAGGATTGACTTCTTCCTTCCTATCACATGTGACAGACACATGGTACATTGCTAAGTTCTGTTGATTCTAAATCTCCAAGACCTTTTCCTATCCCCTTCTTGCCTCCTCCCTTGCTCTCACTTCTTCTGATGCGTCTCTTGGCCCCTAGTCTGTCTTCCATTTCTAACTCCTGCCTCCAGAGGGAACCTGGTTCTCAGATGTGTTCTTCCACATGTTGACATCTCTGAAATCAGCACTTAGTGGCAAGCCACAGTGTTGTCAGCTTGGCTGTCTTACCTGAATGATATGGCTTACTTAATATTAGTGACTTCTTAATTTCAATAAGCAGCTTATGTTTCTAAAATACTTCAAGAACTTTTAGTCACTTGCCATTTCTTAGAGTTCACATTCTTTGTCTGCCAGACGCCATTTCTTTTGACCTGACTCCAGACCATCTCCAGCCTCATTTCTCCCCGTCTCCTACCACATCTCTTCTGTGATTACCCCCAGATTACGTGAGTCCCTCGCTGCAAGCATGCAGCCCCCTGAGCTGTGTGCGCTCATCCCCTTCACCCTGGGAGACACAGTACATGAGCCACTTACTCTCAGCCTGTCTATTTCTTATCCTGACCACCTTTCCCTACTCCTCAGATAGAACTGCCTCCTATCCTTTATTCACATAGCTGCAGTCATTCTGTTTCTAGGGACTAGAAGCCTTCATAAGGGCAGAAACTGCTACTTATCACATCTCTGGTGTCTGAAAAGCAGTGTGTGCTCTAGTATGCCCATGTCCTTATACTAGAGCATAGCAGGTGCAAATAAATTATTATATATAGGATGGATAAACAAGTCCCTACTGTATAGAACAGGGAATTATATGCAGTATCCTGTGAAAAACTATAATGAAAAAGAATATTAAAAGAATGTGTATAACTGAGTTACTTTGCTGTATAGCAGAGATTGGCACACATTGTAAATCAACTATATTTCAATTTTAAAAGTCTAATTTCTGGAGGATGCTTGGAGACAGGCTTATAAAATTCTGGGTATTTTGTATCCCTTTCCAGGAAGTGCCTGCCTTTCCATAGCTCATATCAATTTATCCTTATGCCGAGTCTGCTGGCCTCAAGTTTCCCAATAGAGCCCATTTTGTTGGATGACTTCAACACTACTTATGCCTATGAGTAATGAGATGCGAGACACCTGCTTAATTTTTTTTTTAAATTATATCCCCTGTGAACTCTGGCACAGGTTATGTTCTGAAGTACAAAGTTTATCTTGTGGTCTTCTGGCTTCTGAACTTAGAGAAGGTAATGAAATGCCTATGAAAGTGGCCTGCTCTAGGTAGAACATGAGTTTTAGCTGTTATAGCCTGAGAAATGTGATGTAATCACCCACTTTCATTCTCTGGTTTCTGTTTCATCTTTGCCTGACATGTGAGGTGAATTCTCTGGCCTCCAGCACTTGGGAGTACTGAAATTAGTGACTTGCTGGGCCTTGGCTGAGGTCTGCTGGGAATGATGGTGTAGGAGATGGCGAGGATGTGATTTCCCCCAAAGCACCTTACACTCTGCTGACTGTGACTTACCTCAGGAATATGTGGTGTGTCCTTCTCATCTAATGGATGAGAAGATGGCGGCTGAGCGGTTCAGGGGCTCACCCCACGTTCTAGCTAACCTCCCATCATACTCAGTCTCAAAGTCACCCAGTAAACCAGGGAGCAGAGTTGGGGTCTAAACCTGGACCTGACTTCTGGCCCTCTATTACTCTTCTGCTGCTGGCTTCCCGACAGAAATGCACCCAGTGCGTCCTCTGCCCTCCCTCCATCTTGCTGTGATGTGAGGTCTCTGAAAAGAGGCTCAGGGAGGCAATCTGCCTTGAAGGAAAGGACCAGAATTCTGACACGCCTCTCCTATTTTTTGTGGGCAGCTGGGATTCCTGCATGAAAACACATGCTGCAGCTTCTCATAAAATAAGCCCACGGCCCTTGCCTGTGCAGATAAGTGCTTTTTGTCCCTGGGACAAGTTGCTGTGTCCCCCCACTTTCCATTCCGTCATGCTCACTGATGATGTGTCTGCTTCCTGTCCAGCACTGTCATCTTAACAGACAGCCCCCCCACCAGGTGTCTCCTGACCTTAGCTATTCTCCAGAACAAGTGCCTCAGTCTTGGGTGTTTCTACCCACCCACCCACCCACTCACTGACTGAGGGCACTTTTTCACCTTTTTTTTTTTTTTCTTTCCCTGGATTCTCATAACCTGAACTTAACAGTTATGTAGTCATTTTTGCAGAGTTGTTTTCTTTTTACTTCAGTTGCCATAGTTACCAACTCTGTATATAAAATAATCATCCCCACCCTCTGTTACCCCACCAGAAGTCTCACTGTTTTCTGATGTGGCCTTTGCTGAAGGAATCTGATGGCTTTTTAATAGTTTCCTTTCTGGCTCTACCATCAGCAAACATTTCATGGTCTCCTTTTTATGGATCTTTACTCTGGAGTCTAGATTGATTGGGGCTCAGATCATAGCTTTATTTTGCAGTCTTTTTAGATAGAGCCTCAACCCGCTAGAGCTGATGACCTAGAAAGAGGATTAGGAGATGGGAAACAACTGGTTTTTTTTTTAAAAAAAAAATCCATCTGCCCTAAACTGGTTCTACCTGTATTGCTTTTGATTGTGAGCAATATAAACAAATTATATAATTACAGGGGCAATGCGGTCTGTGAGATGATGGTCAAAAACCTAAAGCTTTTGCTTTGTCCATCTAGTCATCTTCTTGCATCAACCTAGAACTCCCAAACCACTGGCTTTTTGTAGACTGCGTGCCTTGGTGATTTGGGGGCTTAGTGGAGTCTCATCTGAATCACCTGTTCTCCTTGTAATAAAGTAAATGGTAAAAGGAACCTTCTGTCAGAGACTTGTTGACGGGGTGCAGCCTTGAATTTTGGTGGAATGAAGACACCGTGTGAGGGGTCAGACTTGTCATGAAGGAGCTGTGTGACCACCCAGGGCAGGCCCAGCCTCCTCATCAGGAGGATGAGACACCTGCCTACTTAGGCCTGAGCTATTTGGGCGCTTGCAGTCATCAGATAGCTTCTTGCTAAGGTTTCAGTAAACTGTTATTGCTTTATAAAGGATATTGGGATTTGTTTGGGTGCCAGTCACCAGCTTTCCTGGAGTTTCTGTGCTTCAAAAGGAAGACTTTCTGGAGAAGGCAGAGCTAGAATTTCAAGCACACAACTTGATTATATCTTATATCCACTTCAGACTTCTGTTATACCTCTCTGGTCCTTTTGTTTCTGGGCTTCATTATCCATCCCATCTCAACCTAGAGTTCCCTTCTGGCTGTTCCCTGCTGATGTACCGCCTGTCTCTTAGGGTCACTCAAGTCCTGCCCCTTTAGACTTTTTTAGATCTGGTGACTCCTGCCCACTCTTCACTGTTGATAAAATTTGACCTTGATGCCGATGCACAACTTTAGGATGCTTGCTGTTTTAAAGACCTGTTCTCTTCTTCAAACTAAACTTCATAGAGATGGGCCTATCACGTATCTTAACTGGTGCTTGGCGGGGGGGGGGGCTACCAGAAACACACTGAGTGAAAGATGTCTGAAATAAAATTGTAGTGCCATTCTAGATACGTCGATGACGAGAATCCTGTACAAAGCAGGGAGGAATGGAGGGAAGGTCTCTGGCCTTGCGTGGGGTGACAGACATTTGACAGTCTTCTCACGTGTTTTCACTTGTCGCAGCAGCAGCCCTGGGAGGTATGCTACCTATTTGGACATAGTATAATGAAACACAGTGGCTCTGCAGTCATAGATTTGAGTCTGTGAACTCTTAAGTCTCCATGAGCCTTGGGTTCATTTCATTAGATGGGGCTGGTTTTTTTCCTATGGTGCTGGTAAGTGTTAAATGAATGTCAGGTGCCTGTATTGGTACTCTGTCTCACACATGGCCATCGACAGGCAAAGAAGCAGAAGTGGAAACTGGGCAGGGCGAACTCCTGGCTAATCAGCAGTAAGCCAGGGTTCCCTTCTCATGTTACCCCTTGACTCCCCTGTGTGAGTAGAGTTGGGTCTTCTTGTGTAGTTAGCTCCGTGCGGTTTTGCTGGTCCTCTTAGATGGGAGCAGTTGTCAGCACTGTGATTCCTACTTTAATGTGCCACGTCTCTGTAGTCTGTAAGTGTTGTGACTGCGTCCATCTCACTCAGGCTCTTTCTGGTCTTCCCTTGATTTAGGAGAAAGGATCCTGGGTTATGCTGAGGAACCCTGCTATCTCTGGTTTGTCATGGAGTTCTGTGAAGGTGGAGACCTGAATCAGTATGTCCTATCCCGGAGGCCGGACCCAGCCACCAACAAGAGCTTCATGCTGCAGCTCACAAGCGCCATTGCCTTCCTGCACAAAAACCACATCGTGCACAGGGACCTAAAGCCAGACAACATCCTCATCACAGAGCGGTCTGGCACCCCCATCCTCAAGGTGGCAGACTTTGGACTAAGCAAGGTCTGTGCTGGTCTGGCCCCCCGAGGTAAAGAGGGCAATCCAGACAACAAAAATGTGAATGTGAATAAATACTGGCTGTCCTCAGCCTGTGGCTCAGACTTCTACATGGCCCCTGAAGTCTGGGAGGGACACTACACAGCCAAGGCTGACATCTTTGCCCTGGGCATTATCATCTGGGCAATGATAGAGAGAATCACTTTCATTGACTCTGAGACCAAGAAGGAGCTCCTGGGGACCTATATCAAACAGGGGACTGAGATCGTCCCTGTTGGTGAGGCGCTGCTAGAAAACCCAAAGATGGAGTTGCACATCCCCCAGAAACGCAGGACTTCCATGTCTGAGGGGATCAAGCAGCTCTTGAAAGATATGTTAGCTGCTAACCCACAGGACCGGCCTGATGCCTTTGAACTTGAAACCAGAATGGACCAGGTCACATGTGCTGCTTAAAATTCAGGGCAAAGCATCTTGGGTGTTTCTCAACTAGGTGAGTGTACCTCTTTTTGCTCTGCATGTGCTCTTCCTGGACTGCTGGATTCCTCAGACTTGGCCCCGGGGGATGGGAGGGGAGATGGGGAATGGAGTTGGGGGGATATGTAGGGTGGAAGAGAAATAAAATGCTCGTTACCACAGATTCCTCCCAAGCCTCGATGAGGAGGCATGGGATTATCTGAGTATGAATTAGAAAGTCTAGAGAAGTTTTGAGTGGACACTGCATTTGAACTGAGTCTCTTTTAAGATTTTTAGAAACACTTTTTCTCAATAAATGCTTAGTGTAGAAAATGTGCAAAAGTACAGACAATTTTTTTCAGAATAAACACTGTCCCCAATTTGTGTCCTTCCTGTATACATATCCAATTCTGCGCAGTTTAGATCATACTGTTTTAGGTTTAGTTTCCTGTTCTTCCATTCAGTTCTAACCTGAACATTTCCCCATGTCATACCTTGAAAGCATCAGTTCAGTTCAGTCAGTCGTGTCCGACTCTTTGCAACCCCATGGACTGCAGCACACCAGGCTTCCCTATCCATCACCAAATCCCGGAGCTTGCTCAAACTCATGTCCATCTAATCGGTTATGCCATCCAACCATCTCATCCTCTTCTCCTGCCGTCAGTCTTTCCCAGCGTCAGGGTCTTTTCCAGTGAGTCAGTTCTTCATGTCTGGTGGCCAAAGTTTTGGAGCTTCAGCTTCAGTCCTTCCAGTGAATATTCAGGACTGATTTCCTTTAGGATTGACTGGTTTGATCTCCTTGCAATCTAAGGGACTGTCAAGAGTCGTCTTCAATACCACAGTTCAAAAGCATCAATCCTTCAGCACTCAGCTTTCTTTTAGTCCAGCTCTCACATCCATACATGACTACTGGAAGGTAATTGATGTTCCATTATAGGTGCCATAATGTAATTACTCTCCCACTTCAGAGAGCAAATGGTTTCTCCATTTTAGATACTATAAACAGTGGGTGAGTGAATTCTTATAGAGAAATCTTTGCTTATTTAACAGATTGGTGGCAGGCTTTAATTTGTCAAGTACTGTGTTAGGCTTTGGAAAAATGATAAGCAAAATCAGAAACATGTGCCATCCTTGGGACTTCTGCAGCTTAGTCAAGGAGAGAATCATTAAATCACTATTTGTCATAGTTGCTTTACAACGTAAGGAAATTGACCTTTCAAAGAATGGTGCCGAGACAAGAGTAGGGAACTGGAAGCAGAGGGGAGCATTCAGGTAAAAGGCCTAGTCTCTGCAAGGGAGCTGAAGCCAGAGGCAGCGTAGCAGTTTGGGGTAGTGAAAGATGAGGACAGTGACCTGCAAGAGCATGAATGGAGCTGAGGTAAAAGCGTACGAAAGTGTATACCAGGAACAGCAGTGGTAGTGCAGCTGGACCGGAGTCTGAGATGTGAGCAAAGGAAAAAAGGTTAGAAATAAGATGAAATAGGCGACCCTGGAATCTGACCTTGACTTAGTAGGCATTTGGGAGCCATCTGTAAGCTGGGCCAGAACAGTGCATTAAGAACTTCAGCATGTGCATGCTGATTTGAGCTGGAGTTTAGAGGACCAGTTGGACCAGTTGTTTGATTCATACTAGTAAGATGTTGTTGAACCTAAATGGGTAGCACTGACGGTAGAGAAATGCCCTGGATCTTTGGGGCACAGTTAGCAAGGCAGCTGGCCAGTGTGGAAATAATGAGATACTGGGAGATTGATACACTTGCTGGCTACTGTATTGGTCAGATTTGATTTATTTTCCTTAAAGGGAAAAGAAAAGGACATTGATCACCTTGAATGCTAGGTATTGTCACATGTACCATTTTGTTTCATCTTTGCAGCCCTGCAAAAGGTTAAGTCATTTACCCAAGATCCTACTAATTTAAGGATAGGGGCCTCTTTGGTGTCTCAGTGGTACAGAGCCCACCTGCCAATGTAGGAGATGCACGTTTGAACCCTGAGTCGGAGAAGGAAATGGCAAGCCACTCCAGTATTCCTGCCTGGGAAAGCCCATGGACAGAAGAGCCTGGTGGGTTACAGTCCATGGTGGGTTACAAAAAGTGTCAGAGACTACTTAGTGACTAAACAGCAACAGCAATATCTTACTCATGCCCCCTCCTCCCCAGCATGTTTTTTCTTAGTATCAAGATGGCAAGCTGAAAATAAGCTAGTCTTAGATTTTGCTGAAGCCTTGAGAGGAGCTGATAGGTAGAAGCTGATCCCTGTGGTCATAGCAAGGAACCTCAGCACCTGGGACACACAACTCTCCCTTACCTGGGTGCGTTCTTAGTCCCTTCTTTCCCTTTGTCACCCTTACATTTCTGGTTGGAGTTGGTTAATGCTGAGTCAGTGAACTTCTCAAATGAGTCACTCCAGGTTTAATTCTTCCATTCCACAAACATTTATTATCTTCCAAGTGCCAGGCCACTTTGTCCTACTACCCAGTAAGAGAACATCATTCTTAAAGCTAGGTTTGGGGTAGTACCATGTTCAAGCCTAAAAAGCATTGGCTGGACAGTATTTTAATTGTATTTCATGCTGGCAATTCCCATCTCATCTTTTCCACTTTTCAAAAACCTCTTAGAATTCAAGTTTGCCCTGAGGTACGAAGAACGTCATCATTGGAAGAGGGACCTGGATTTGGGTTAGGGTTATGGGGTTGTCCTAACTAGTTGAAATTGTGGCTCCCATTTGGACACCCACCCTTGAGATCTGTGCTGTGTTGCAGGGCAAAGTTAAAGCTAAATAAGAGTATTGTTTCAGGTAGGAGAAATAAGTGAACTTGAGAAAAGATCGGGAACATAGTTATGGCCAAATGTCCCAGACTCTGACAGCTAATGAGGACAGTGGTTGGTCAGTGGTGCCTGACCTGCTCTGTTCTAGCTGAACACTTAGAATTTGGGCCAGGTCCAGGGCCCAAGTCTTTGTGACCAGGAGCTGAACCTTGTTGTGCCAAAGGTTCAAATCACTTGTGGTATAAATGAGTATCTGGCTGGTTAGAGAATCAGAGACTTGGGCTGGGAAGATCTGTGGAGTCCAAACTCCCCTTTCTGCCAATCAAGCTTTATATATAAACGGAGAAACTAGTTCCATATATTCATTCATATTTATTAAGAAACTATTTGCCAGGGACTGTTTCAGACACACAAGATACATTAGTGAACAAAACCAACAAATTCTTGCAACTGTAGAATTTATATTTCCTGGAGAGATGAACAAACATAACTGTTAGCTATGGGTTGGCAGGGCAGGGTGGGGGTGGAGGTGGTGTAGACCAGGATAAGGGAAATTAGAATGCAGAGAGGTGAGGGATGGGGTTGTACTTCCAAGTAGAAGAGGTTGGGGTGGGTCTCCTTAAAGATGGTGACTTTTGATCAAAGGTTAGAAGGAGTTGAGGGAGTGAGGCACTGGGATTTCTGGAGGAAGAAAATCTCAGAGGCAATAACCATTATAACAGCTTGAAGGGACAGAGTGAACAGGGAGGTGAATATAGGAAAAGAAGCTAGAGAGGTAATTAGGAGTCAACTGAGAGTCCTTGGACTGCAAGGAGATCAAACCAGTCAATCCTAAAGAAATCAACCCTGAATATTCACTGGAAGGATTGATGCTGAAGCTTCAATTCTTTGGCCACCTGATGCAAAGAGCTGAATCATTAGAAAAGACCTTGATGCTGAGAAAGATTGAAGGCAAGAAGAGAAAGGGACAACAGAGGATGAAATGGTTGGATGGCATCACTACTGACTCAATGGGCATGAGTTTGAGCAAGCTCCAGGACAGGGAAGCCTGGTTTGTTGCAGTCTGTGGGGTCACAAAGACTCAGACACGACTGAGCAACTGAACAACAGAAGAGGCCTTTTATCTTCAGTAAGATGAAAGGTCACTGATGTGTTTTCAGCTGTGTGATATCTGATCTTTTGAAAGGATCACTGTAACTACTGTGCTAAAAGTAAACTGGAGGGGGCAAGTGAGGGGATATGATGGGAGGTTACTCTGATAATCCAGGTGAGAGATAAAGATGGCTTTGAACAGTGGAGCAGGGAAGATAATGATTGGATTTGGGGTGAATTTTGAAGTCAACCGATAGGATTTCATGCTAGATTGAACAAAAGATGTGAGAGAAAGGAATTAAGGATAACTCCAATTTCTTGGCTTTGTAAACCATTGGAAGGATAGAGAGGATCAAATGAGATGGGGAAGAACAGGTTTTAACTGGAAGAATTTAGGTCTTGGTCATCTGAAAGTTTGGAATGCCTGTTCAGAAACCAAGTACAGAGTTGAGTAGGCAGGTGGAGGAGTCTGAAGTTCAGGGGAGAGAATGGTCTAGAGGTACAAATGTGGAGATAGTCAAGGATGTTTTAAATGTTTCTTTCAAATGAATAATTTAGTTACATGCTGTCGTACATGATTTATGAAAACTTTACAAAAACATATTTAGTGAGTTGTTCAGTTGCTAAATTCTGTCCAACTTTGGTGACCCCGTGGACTGTAGCCCACCAAGCTCCTCTGTTCATGGGATTTTCCAGGCGAGAATACTGGAGTGGGTTGCCATTTTTTTCTTCAGAGGATCTTCCCAACCCAGGGATCTAACCCGCATCTCCTGCATTGCAGGCGGATTCTTTATCGCTGAGCCACTGGGGAAAGCCCATGTTTAGTCAGTAGAGTGGCATTGTTTTATATTTTTGCAAATCAACATCTGCTTTGATAGTCAGCTGAATTCTCATTTGCTTCCGCTTTGTACCCTGGTGCTACATCACTCATCACGTAACTTCTGGAAAACTTCACCATACACTTATAGGAGAATGCAAGTGAAAAAGACAGATAACTGATAAGTTTTGTCTTCGTGTATTGCCAAGCAGCAGACCACATTTTGGTGCCTCTTCCTGTTTCCATGATGGGGAGCTGAGAAGTAGGAGAGACCTAGAAGGAATTATTCAAAGTCCCAAATGAATGGGCAGAACTTGTGTGAC